GAGTGTGTACACAACATGGATGGAATCACACTTTTAAAGTTTCTGATGAGATGCACTGAACACTGTAATAGCCAGCGCGTTGCAAAAAAAAAAACCCAACCATTACCAGCCTTCCCATAACGGAATTAAACCACGGGAGAACAGAAGGAAAAAAGACTGGGACACAGATACACCCCATCCACTGCTTTTCCAGATCACCCGCTCCCTTTCGGTCAACGCCTGCGCCAGTGGCAAACCGCTATCTCGAAACCACCAGTGCATTTCCCTTCCCCATTCGCAACAGTCGAGTGACAACAACTCCAAATGACTCCTCCAGGGCTGGACTCCCAGGGGTGCTGCCCTTGATTTAGCGCTAGCCTGAGCGGGACACAAAGAGAAGCTACAAGCGTTGAACCACCATTTTCTAAACAACAGATTATCTTCCAGAGCCCATGAGCTAGAATCTGCATTTACTTTCTCAGTTGAAGTAAATCTGTAGTGCTTATGAGTAAAGGTCTAGGGTGTACCATCAGGATAGGCAGGAGAGGGAGAGCTGAGGAGTGAGCACGGCCCGAACAGAGCGGAGCAGTAACGGCAGGGGACAGATACGGTACAAAAAAATCCAGAACAGTGTTTCGCTGGGAAGGAATGAAACGCTAGCTCTTGCATCACAAGAAGGGGTGGAACAAATACAGGGAGGAAAGACTATGCAGGCGAAAATGAACGAAGATGACAGGCAAGGGCCCACGTCAAGGGTAGGAACTTCATCAAGTGCAATACCGGCATCACCATGAGAGCTAAACCCACAAAGGGAGGGGAAAAAACCACTCCCCGGCGGTCAAGCGGGGCTAAAAGCAGAGACGCGCGTGTCACAGGGAACGCTGCGGCGACCTGGAGGCCACGAGTACCAGGCTGCATCTCTAACCGGCCGAGCATTCCTCCGGGTCCTCCTGCCACGCAACCGACTGCTGCACTCGCGGCAGGGGAGGGTGACACGCCGAAAGTCAGGGTGTGACAACTCCCTTCCTACTCTGTGGGTGCAGTCAGCGTGAACTCCATCCGCCGTGGGGAGAGCCGCGTGGCCCCGAACTGAAGCAGGACGGGTTTCAGGCGCGGTGACAGACGCGCCGCTCCACAAACCCTCGCCTCAAGGTGTCAGAACCACCGTCTGCGTAAGGAACAGTTTACGAGACCTAACAGAAATTGTCCTTTTTTCCTTCGATCCCTACCTTTGTAAGAATGAAAAAAAAAAAAAGGAAAAAGTATAACTTT